TTCCAGTTTTACTTGATATCTCCACTGGACAGTGTCCATGTCCGTGTGAGAAATGCCAGCCAAGGTAGGGAACAAGTCTCCAGAAGCAGTAGCTTATTGAGATGGGTTTGGCTAAGTGAAAACCCCGGTGCATTCAAAGGAAAGGAAATGTTCTTTTTCACTTTATGTGGCACGGATACATTTTAAAATGCATGGGCAAAGTTTGTAGCTTATTTCCTCCAAAGGGGCCAACTCCTCCTGGCATTCTTATGAACAAGCTCATTAGAATAAAATCCATTATGCGCATAACTAATGACACAAATTTACAAATCTGTTGACAATTATGACCACATCCCTCATGCATTTGCTTGTAACTCACTGAAGTGACCAGAAGAAGGAGTTCAATCCAGAAGTTTTACAGCTCATGAGCTCCGAGTGCAGTGATGTGAGATTATTTCCCAACTGGATTACAAAGCTGTCATTAGCCAGGGCAGCTCGGCAGGACCAGGGCACAAGACCGTAAACTGCCCTCAGGAGACCTGAAATCACTCTGAAGGCAGGGCGAGATACTCCTGGCTGCAGAGACCATTATTTTTTTAGCTGGGGGGGGAAAACACATGCGCGTGCACACAAGCCGCTTCTGTTCCAAGTAGCATCTTGTGTCCTCTAGAAATGAATAGAAATCAAATTGAGACACTGGTGTCCTCAGAGTGTTAAATATTTCTAAGTTCTTGCCAGGCGGGTGTAATTTATTGAATGTAGGTTTTGTGAAATAGTGCTCCTGTCAGGGAGAGATTGGCACAAGAGAAATGAAGGCGGCTAATTCTCAGGGGGTCCTCGCTGGCAAAAACCCTCTATTGAGTCCTCATGCTACTTGTGCTCATAACTGCCGAAAAACCAGGAGTGCCATCTGCAAACTGTGATTCATAAACACTCTGTCAGTCTGCCATGGACCCTGACATCATAAAATAACAAGAAGCAGCATTGTAATAAAGAGAGGAGGTTTGCAGTCGACCAATTAAATGCATCTAATTTATTTCTGTTACAGCTGAGGCTTTATTTATTAGTAAACAGCTGCATTTGTTACACTTTTTTTTTCTCCACCCCTCCCTATTTTTTTACTAGGAGTGTGCCAACTGGCACTTTTGATAATCCATTAATCCTAAATAATCATCTGGGTACTTCATGGATGGTAGGGAAAAAAATAGCAAAATGGGTTATTAAAAGTTAAAATGTAACCTTGCACGCGGGCTGCAGAGCGCTGCTCCGCAGCGGGTCTGCGTGAGTCACGGCGAGCCCAAGTTGTGCCCTCGATTTACACCCGTGAGCAAGGGCTGAGATGGTCACCTGAAGGGACCTGGATCCGGGGCTGGATCTGGCCCCGTGGATGTGGGGTTTTTTTGCAAGACGGCACGTTTGTGGCACAAGAGGAGCATTTTGCATGTTTGGTTTCCTTGCCTCCTCCTTTCGCCGTGCTGACTTGATTCTCAGCAAAGCTAAAAATCTGCTAATTGGTTGTCAAAGTCTAATTAGCTGATATTACCAAAAAAAAAAAAGGATAAGTTTGCCTTTTATAATTGGAGCTGAAGCCCCCCACTTCCCCTCCCCTCCAACCCCCTGGTGTGTGTTAATTGAGCTCCAGGACTTTTCAGTGTGTTTTAATGCTCTCTCCTTTTCAGTGCCCTGGAAAGCTTTGCAGTTAATGAGACAATAATATGTACAATCAAGTAAAAATGCAGTAAAAAGTAGGCCCGGCCTTATGGAATTGGAGTGTGCGAGTGCCCACGTGCATGTGTGTGGAAGGAGCTGGCTCTCTCACTAAACTACCAACACACACTCAAGGTGGCTCCATAATTTCCTCTCCCTTCCTGGGCGTTTCCTCCTCCCTTCCCCTCAAAAGGGGGGATTTTTTATTTTTATTTTTTTTTATTTTTTGCTTAAAGCAATTATTTTACTACTTAGAGAGAAAAGGCTGGGTTCTGCCACCCATGTATATACAGATGTATCCCTAAGCCCCAAAGCTCCCTCTGCAGCCAGGCCCAAGCCCACCTGCACATCTCCATGGGTTCCTCCTCACATCCTGTCCTATTCCATCCTCCCTGTAGGTCTCAAGCTCGTCCATGAGCTTCACTTACATCTACCACTTAACCATTTTCACTGCCACCTTGGGGGCAGCAGTTAGTGCCATCCTGTGCCTTCTTTCTGTGATTTAATTTTAAAGTTTATCTATTGACTTACATCAAAAAAAAATCGACATTAAAAAGAAGCAAGCACAGGTGGGTGCTTTATATATGGGTGCTCTTTTTCAATCTGTATAATAGCGTTGAGTTTACTTTTTTCAGTATGTTTTCCTCTTTTCCCTCCTCCTATCTTCCTCCTCCACACCTGCTTTTAATCAGTCTCCTCTGCCCCACTTGTCATCCTATCCTCTCTGCTGCTTTTACCACAAACCCACTAATGTTATATTTCAAGGCAAACTTTCAAGCCCACGACATTTAAGCAAGTAAATCAAAAATCCAAACAAATTCTCCAGCCTCTCCCGGCAGGAGCGTGCGGGAGAGGCTCCTCCAAGCTGTGGAAGTGAAAACAGTTGCATTGCTTTGCCTGTCTGAGTCTGTTTTCCTTTAAATCTGAAAGTGTCTTTTCCTAAAATCTCCCCAAACATGCATGCATCGAGGCCAATGCTGCTCTTAGATGAATGATTTCTAGTGTTTGTGCTGTTTTGTCACAAGTCACCTCCACTTGGCAATGCAGACCCGAGTGCAGTGTGCACCTGGCTCTGAGAAAGAACCTAATATGAAAGAAAATCAATTGTGTATTTATTGTGGTAGATTATCTAAAATAATACATACTTCATGATAACCAAACTGTACAGGCAGATGCCCTAGTTTAGCAAGGCCCTGAAATCAGTGTGTCTTAAATATGGGCCTGAAAGCCATAGGTAGCCAGGTACTGGGGGAGCTTCTGGTGCTGGTGGAAATGAGTAACCTGCTGCACTGAGGCTTAAATATAGGCCTGAAAGCCTTAGGTAGCTGGGTACTGGGGTACTGGTACTTCCGTTGCTAGTGGAAATGAGTAACCTGCTGCACTGAGGAGTGATCATTATGGTCTTATCTGTGTCATGGGTTTGGGGGAAATGTGTCATTGCATCTACATGAAGCAGTTTGGATGGGCTTAGCAAGGCCAGGACCATCTTCTTGCAAAGCCAGTTTTATCCTGAGAAGGACGTGATGGACTTCTTATTAAGGATATCGTTACAGGGGCAATACTATAAGGTGGCAGACAGTAATGGAAAGTTGTGTCCCTTTTCTGTAAGGGACAACGTAGGTGGACATTGTCATCCCATGCTGAACATTGAGTATCAAAGGATTTCCGTGCTGCTGTGGAAAACCTTGCACTTTTCTCCACCTAGGAAAGATAAGGTGGGTTAACTCTCTTGGCCAGTGTTGCTGTTGCCTCTCTATTTAATCTTATTTGTTTGGATTTTCTGCAGAGAAAATGAGTCAACACAAGCACCATATCTTCTTAATCAGCTTGAGTTTCATTGTGGACTTCCAGCAGCAGGTGTTCCAAGACTGGTGAGTTTTGATGGTTTCCATTGTGCTAGTGGAGAGCTGATAATTATCTTTTTTGAAGTTCCAAATTTGCTCTCAAACATCATTAACATTTTTGCTTTATGAAGGTAAGGTTACTGACTGTATTTATACTGTGAATAACCACACTGACTTTAGACTGGTCTCCTCAGGTATCAGTCGCATCCTGACTGCGTCAAGCCTCCTTCACCAGTTCTGCAGTGGTGTTCAAAGGGTTAACAGCAAAGGTGAGCTAGCAAGTGGGTTGGAAAGTGCAGAACTTAGTGCTGAGTTTGCAGTAAAAAGAAGAAAAAAACACGCTATTCTGAGATGTTGCTGGCTGCCTGCTACATATAATAGAAACCTGTTGTTTTTCAAAGTCAGCTGGCAACAGAATAAGAAAGCCAGAAACAGCAAAAGTCCTGCCGAGCATGTTCACAAATGCCACTATTGTGTATTGTCATCGGCAAGTTAATTGGCAGCAACAGCAGCTGATTGACATTACCCGCTTGCTTTTGAGCGTTGTGAGATAAAAAGTTAGGCTTTGCTGCTGCCTTCGGCTAGCGCGTTGTCACTGAAGGTCGGGTCTCTGGAGCCTGGGGATGGGCCCATGTGGTTCTCCATGTTTTGTTGTACCATGTTGTCAACCGTTGTGTCACCATTCCATTCCAAGCACTTCTAAAACCAGCAAGAGTTATGGTAGGAAAGGATGTGACTAGGCAGTCTTGCCTCTTTCTGAGAAGTCTGGTTGTTTGATTTTCTAGTGATTTTAATTTACTGTGGCCACTGCTTTGAAAATAAGTAGAAATTGTGTTGGTCCTGGGGTGATAGCATGGAGCTCTTTATAAATAAATCTCATGGAAACAGAACCTCTGTTGCTGAGGTTACAGCATCACATCACTATCGGCTTAAAACACAGTGTTTGTGCTTAATGCTTCCTTCATTAACACATTCTGGCCATTGGCTCATTTGGCTCTATTAACATAATTGTTCTTTCTAAACAACTGGGTCATTCTCTCTCCCCAATTAGAAAATCAAAGCTGGTTTCAATATTTTGGAGAAATCATGCAGCCAGGGCTCCACTATAAACTTACCCTGGCTGTGGTTAAATAAACCGCTTCTCATTCCACTTACCCAGAGCCTTCAAGTGCATATCAGAACAGGGCATATTTTATACAAACCTTTTCTCTTTGTGGCTTTTTTTGTTGTAAATGTCCTGTTTGTCTGTGAAACCCGAAGAAAAAAATATTTTCTCAAGCTATTTTGATAATATTCTTCCTTGATTTTTCCATGCCATGTTGTTGCTTCCCCAACTTCTCCTTCCCCTGAACCAAAGGACCGACTTGCTATTTTTTGCTTCTGGTCTGGGGAATAAAAAGGAATATTCCCCCTTTTGATTCCTCTCCCTTTGGTTTTTCATTTTATTTAATTTTTTTTTTTAGGTGACATTGTTCTACTCGCCAAACCTGTAACTTTAACAGAGGGTGACAGGGTGACCTTGACGACAGATGTTCTTATGGCAACAGATGGCACGAGCAAACCCGAGAAGCTGCTGTACGCTGTCTCCGTGCCACCTGTGCATGGTCAGATTGAGCACATCAATTATCCCGGCGTGCCCATTTCCAGTTAGAGCCAGTTGGATGTGGTGGCCCAGAAGGTCTGCGATGTTCATGACAATAGCCATGAGGCTAGTAAGGATTCATTCAGGTGAGAAGACTTGCTTGGGCCTTTACACTTCAGCTTGCTTAAAAGGGTTAAACTTGCACCTCGTTCACTGCGCACCGAGCAGTGAGCAGAGCATTTAACGACCAGTACAATTGTGCAGAAGAGACTGCTTCAAACTGTAACACAATGTAATTTTATCATTACAGTAATTACATACTTTTATTAACTGTAGTAGTTAAGTTGCATGGCCAAAGGCAATAGGAGTCTTGCAGGCTTCATATTGGGGTCTGCCTGGACAGGCTTTTGTGACTGATGAGCAAGTGAAATCAGAAGATTTAAGTACATGTAAAGAGTTTACTACGTCCCTCAAGGTTGCCAGTGGTCGAAAAGGAGAAGGAAAAATCCCTCATCTGAAACTGTTGTTGCTTTCTGGGCAGTTCTTTCTCCTGAAGGGGAAAAAATAATAATCGTAACATTGTCTGAAATGATCAGGAGAACTTAATCCAGATGGCGGTGTCATTTCTAAGAAAAAGCATATGTTGGCCATTATGATACTTAAATATAATGGTTTTACATTCCTCTGGTGGGCACAAAAGGCACACAACAGAGTTGGCGGGGGTTTTTAATCTCCTGAATGGTGGCAGTGGTGGTGGTGGAGTGGTGGGAGATTTTATCTTCCAAATGGTGCGTTTCCCAAAAGATTGGGAAATTCAATTGAGGAGAGCCTGCTGTAAAAGCTGTGCTCCTGCGGAATGTAAATTTGTGCATTACCCTATCCACTAGCAGTAGAGAGGTTTAATTTACTGTGCCCTTTGGAATATCATCATTTTATGTATATTCTTCTGTTTTTTTTTTCTTTTGCTCTAGCATGTTTTTCTTTCCGATTTGCTTTAAAAGTTATTTACGCTCCCCTTGCAGCAAAGTGGGCACTATAACTAATTTTATTCTTACCATGATTAACTATGAATAATTTCCTAAGAAATGAGTCAAATTAACAAGGGGAAGAAGGAATCAATAAATCATGAAAGCAGCCTATTTCTAAGTGGGGTTAAAACCACCATTAAATAAATCACAGATTCTAAATGATGACCCGCTTGGATATAGAGGGGGAAAAAAAGTGTCTATTTAAACCTGCGGTGAAAGGAAAAATGGAAGTGTGGGCCAGCATCTGTGCTCCCGCACACGGCTCGAGGAGGGGCGCGAGGGATGGAAGCAGCTTGTGGAAGGGCCCCGGGATAAGTCGCTCCGGCTGCAGCTGCGGAGGGAGAGGAGCCGGGCTCTGCGATCGCTGCCCGCTCCAGCTGCGACGCGGCCGTCGCGCTCCTGCTGCAGCCAGGCACGGCCAGAACAGCTCTGCCTGCTGGACACGTGATACAGAGACATAAATGTTGTTTAAAAGCACCTTCTGCCTCCCTGGCTGTGCCAAAACAGAGGAATGCAGGGGCTGACCCGACTTGGGTCTGAATATCTCAAATGTTTTCACTCTGCTTTAATTTTTTTCTCTTGTTGATCCTGGCAGAATTTTGAGTGCTTTTGTATGGTCAGGCCTGATTAAAACTGCTTGGAGAGGATTTCAGGATCAGCCCCATTGCTCTTACCTTGTTTTACATTGTATCCTTTTAATCTTGCATTAAGGATCCTAATTTGCCATTACTACACTACCTACTGAGTGTAGTAATGTTACCCAGGGCCTGGTCGTCGTCTTAGTGGAGAATCAGAAATCTCCATTTTGCTCAAGGCCTGCCATCACCTTTGTGCTGTTTGCTGCCCATCCTTTTCTACCGCAACAGGTAGAAATGTTTCTGAATTGTAGAAAACTGAGCAAACTTTCTCCCCAAGATTTCCTTGGGAAAGAAGAGGTGAAAATGTTTGCTCCTTAGTTATAGAAAGGTAAAGATGCGCTTGTAACCTCCCATTTTATTTTTTTTAATGATATTTTCTCCTCCCTAAACACATGTACAGAATTGAAACAATTTGTTGCTCGTGGGGAATGGTTACCTTTTCTTCTGCATGGTCAGCCCAAAAGTTGTCAGCTAGTTTAAATCAGTCTATCCCCATTCACTGAAATGATGCTGCAGCTGTTTAAAGTGGCTCTGTGACTCGTAAAGTTACTTCATGAAGTTGCAGAAAGGATCTCTGTTGTAATGTATCTCTTGGCCATTGTTCCTCATCTCTTTTTTGTGCAGTGGGGAGGTGAGCATCTCGTTGATCTGTTGTGGTATTTGGGGAGCTGCTTGTCCTCTCTGTTCTGCCTGTCTGGGTGCTTTGGACAGAGGACTTGGTGCAGTTTTTCTGCAGAAACAACACGTGATATTAGAGCCTCCGCAAATGAACCAACCCAGAGGGAAGCCTTTTTTCCCTAAGTGCTGTAAACACACCAAATAGTGAGTGCTCCCTGCCTTGAGGGAGCTCCCATGTAAGTGAATGGATGGACATGAGTGGGGGAGGACCAGAGCCCCGTGAAGGCCATGGAGGTCATCTTCGAGGTCATCTTCATTTGCAGCTAATTGCTGCCGCCTGGGGCAGAGACCTGTCTGTTTGGGTGGTCATTGCTGTAAAACTGAATGGGAATTTGTCATTCTGCTGTAATGCAAATAAACCATCCCCTTTCATGAACCAGCAGCAAGGCAGAGTGGTCCAAGCCCTCATTGAACCCCATTGGTTGTATGGATGCAAAATGTTTTCAAGGAAGATATAAAATACCAATGAGCTCCACTTAGGGATAAAATCCAGATGGGTAGATTGGAAGGACTTTGCTGGTGTGACATTCCCAGTTGTTTGAGGCTGGATTTGACCATTTCTCAATATGCAGGAGAGAAGCACAGCAAAGGGCTGGGTGCGAGGAGCTGAAGGAGGGCACCCACTGCCACCTCTGCCATCCGGGATTAAAAGCAGGTCTGGTGGGAGATCCGACAGGAAGGATTGGCCTGGAGCACAGGGACTTGTCCTTTGGGAAGGAAGGAGTTAAAACACAGGGATTAAAAAAAAAAAAGCTTAAAAAAATCTCACACACTCACTCACTCACATACACACACACACTCGCACAAAACCCTGCACCCTAAATTAATTTCTGCTGGTAATCTATATCGGGTTAAATAACGCCTCATTATTCTGCAACACAGCTGAGGCTTCTCAAAATGTTTATCTTGTTTTGTAACTGGTACCTTCTGGTATATTCCAGTGCCAACTCTCCTAGCTCTTGCTATATTTCATTCTCACTATTTTTGGAATGGAGCTGCTGGTTCCAGGTGATTTAATAAATTGCTTTTTTTTGTGTTCCTTTTAACTTACCCATCTGCTCAACACATGCGTAACTTGCAATCTGTCGGCAGTTTGCAGAAAGACAAACTGTCAGAGCTGCATGCATTTGACAACTTTGTTCCCAATTAGATTAGTGGTAATTTTAACAGATTTCAGGGCAATCGAAAAAAGGGATGACATGTTATTAAAGCATCAATTTTGACAGACCCAAGCACATACAATTTCAGTGTAAATTATTTTAAATGCTTTAATTAAAGCTATGAAAGATTTACCCTTTTAAGCGGTAAGTGATTGCAAGACAAATATAAAGGGAAAGTGGATAACAGAGTTTCCTAAATGGTTTATGCTGCGCATGGCAGTCCACAAGTCACCACCACCATAATCTATGACTGTAATGTTGGAGGCATAGTTAATTATTCATAACCTCATCTCTGGAGCAGACGTGATTAAGAACATGAAGAGCATTCAGAGATCTAAGCAGTACCTATGAAAATCTGAGCTCGAGCCTCTCAGAAGCTGTTAGGTAGCAATTTGGGGTGGATATTTTTATAAACATACTTTTATTTTTGCCCCAGTTCAGATGGCCAAAGCCCAGTGGTCAGGGTGACCATGTATTTAGAGCAATGAGGGATTTTCTGTACTTGAAGACACTTTACAGGCTGAAGAAGCCCCGTTAAAAAAAAAAAAAAAACATTTATTATTTAAACTGAATACAGCACTCTAAATTCATCACTCTAGGAGCGCTATGCCACATGTGTAGAACAGTTAACTGTTTAAATGATTTTGTGAATCATAACCCCCTTCCAGCGATCTCCACTGAGTCCAGCCGAAGCTCTGAGGCTTGGGCTTGGCCCAGGGCTTGTGCAGCTGCTGGGTCTTACTGGGTGGACATGGAACTCGCTGGAGTCAGGCCTTAATCCTGCACTTAAATGTTGCTCGGTGTTGGGTGGCTGCTCTTCCAGGAGGATCACTCTGAGGTGTGTGTATTTTGTGTGGTTTTGGCCGTGTAGTGCAGTCCTGCAATGTTTTAGAGCTGTTAAACGCACGTATTACTTTAAAGGATAAAAATTCTTCGTCGCACAGTCTGTGTTCAAAGCTTGTTTCCTGTTTAGTTAGAGGAATATATGTTTTCCCATGATTATTTAGAGTAAGAAGGACACTGTTGCCATCCTTCCCTCTTTCCTAAAAGCAACCTTTTTTGTTGTTGTTAATTTGTTTGTTTTCTTTGAGGATGGGTACAATGTGGTATGACTTCCTGAAAAGCTTTGAATTTTTTCCGTCAAGGCTGCTGACCCAAAGCTTTACAATACCAAAAGGCCCTGAAAGTGAGACCAATTGCTGCAGCTAGCTCTGCAGGTAGAAATTCCAGAAAGCTTCTCAGAGTCCTCGCTCTCGCACAGTTTCCAGCTGTTTGAATCTTGGAAAACGCAGTGATTTGTAACTGGCGCAGGTTCAACAAGTCAAGAAGTCCTGGCTGTGGTGTCTCACCACCTTTGGGACAGCGTTTCCAGTGAGCACTTGCAAACTCCCAGACTGTTCTTCCCTTTGCAGGTCTGTGAACCAAATTCTGAAGGGTTTTGCAGATAGGACAACTCCTGAATCCATTCAAATCCTATACTCTGGTGTTTCTCTCAGCTGGTGTGAATCAGTCAGGCTCCATTTAATTCAATAAACCTACTAAAATGTTCACTGGTTTAAGATCCACCTTATTGTGTCTCGGTCAGTGAACACAGGCCTCTTGGGATATCTGATTTTGGCTTGAAAAATCACCGTCCTTCTCAAAAAACCAAGGAGGCCATGCACCAGGCAGAGATCAAAGCACAGGAGTGAGATTGTTGTGGCCATGCTCCCAAATTGATTGTATTTGCAGGCCAGAAAGAGGATTGGGGCCAGTGTCATGGTTAATGGTCAAGTGGATAAACCTGGGCTAGAGGAGCTAATTATTGAGCAGCCTGATGCCAAACCACCTGTGCTTGCTCACACCCCTGTGGCACAGGGTCCTTTCCTTGGGTTCTTCAGCTGGTCACCTGCACAGCCCATTAAAAACCTTCGCTATACAGCTATACTGCATGCCCTGAGGAACCAGCTGTACCTAAAGGAGAATGCCTTCTAGCAGGGCCAATTTACACAGCTGGATGTCAGTAGGCTGGAAGTAAAGACACTGTGGAAATGCTGGGCAAATAGGTAGGTTTTAGTTCATTGTGCACAGTCAGTAGTGGTTTTCCTGTCAACAAACACGTGAGAGAGGAGGAGCTCAACAGGGTGGTTGAGTTACTAATGGTCTCTGTTGCTCCTCTGATGCATCACAAAATAGGGCTGTTGTACCTAAGGACCGAGATGTGATGGTGGTAGGATGGAGAGAGCATCTTTATTTGAATCTTTTAGTCTTCCCTTGGCTAATTAAAGCTTTCCCTTTCAATAGAGGTCTAGTTCTTTGGTTCAAACTGTGATACACTGGAGATTTGAGAGAGAACTGACTTCCATGACAGATTTGAGTCAGGGATATAAACTCAAGTAGTCCAACATTTTTGATTTTAAAAATATTTATCTTAAGATTGTAGGCCCGCTCCAGTTTATGAGACCAAATCATTGTTAAAACTAACCTGTATAAACTAGGCTGAAACCTCTTTCCTGATTATGAAAATGTTTATTTAATCAAGTCACATACAAAACATTGCAAAAAATCCTGCTTGCATACATATTGAGCTTTGCTGCCTAATCTATTTTATAATGTTTTGCAATTAACAGGCCAATGTTCATCAGCTGATAAATAATTAACAGCTGTTGTTGTTTCTAGGGCATGACGTAGAAGGCTTACATAGGACAAAACCCAGCCTGAGTTATTTACTAAGATTCTGACCAAACATACTTTTATAGCTCATAAAAGCTAAGTTTCTTTGAAAAAATGTGATTTATGGTTTCTCAGGGGGAATCTTCTTTATGACTCTTCTGAACAAATCAGAAGTATTCCTGTGTATTTTTTTACTCATTCCTATATTAGATGACTAAGGTGGAAGCTTGCTTTTTTTTAACCAGTGTTACTCATCTAAATCAAGAATTCAAATGTTAAAAATAATTATTAAAAAAAATACTTTGCCTACAAGTGGCTGATATCTATTGCTTGTCTGGTATTATACTGTTGTTTGGCCTTTCCTTGAAATTCCCAGTTCTGGGAGGAGCTACTTCTCAATTTTATGCAAGGTAACCATCCCTAGTCAGCTTAATCAACTTCAGCAGTATTGTTGTTCTTCTGAAGAAAAAGAAAAAACAAACAAACAAAATAAAAATTGTCTTGCTGTTAATTCTGGTTAGAAATGGGAGTTATGGAAAACAGCTCATTTGGAGCTCTCCTTTGAACACAGCTTATTTAGATCTGTTTCAAGTGAGGCGGTGTTCTGCGTGAGCCCATGAATGCTAAGAGGAATATCTGAAACTGAATTCTTGCTGGAGGTAAGCTCAATGGTTTCTTGCAAGGCTTTTCTGATTTATTTTCATGCAACATATTCATCAAGCAATTACAAATGGGAGGGGGGTGGTTCCTGTTTACAGCACACACAATCACCCATGATTAAGCAAGGAGTTCATTTCGTGCTCATGAAGAAGTTCAGTCTCCCTCAGAGACAAGCTTTAGCCCTGCTGTACAGATTCTACTGCACAAAAAGCGTGTTTCTTGACTGTGTTTTTTTTATCCAATAGTTTCATCCTGGTTTTCAGATATCCTAAGTTCAAGCCAAAGGGCATCGCCAAGGAAAAGGTCGAAAACTTGAAGATTTCTTCAAAAAATGTGAAGCTCTTGTAGACAGCTGAGGAGAGATGTGATGTATTTGTGGCAATGCATGTCACTGGAGAGATTTTCTGTAACATTTTGTACTATTTGGAGTTTCCTAAGTGTTGCAGGCTTCATGCCCAGGTATATCGTTATGCTGTAGTACAGCCAAGTGACCAAGGTGTGAAAAACTAAGGCCAGGTCAGTATCTGCCAGAATGGGATGCCAGTCTCCCAGCCAAGTGGAGATGATTGGAAGTGATAATTGCTGCTTTGTGAGAGCTGAATGTACTTGTGGATTCCTCACCTATTTCTTAAATACAGACTCAATTGTAAATGAGTGCATTAACCGAAAGCTCTTCCAAATACTATGTTTACCATCTTTTGTCCTGCTTGGGTTCAGTTTTGCCTACCTGCCCTTTATATTTCAGCTCATCTTGGTCCGGTTATGGCATGACTGTGTGTGGTAAAAGATAGAGATGATTGTTTTATATGCCTTGCCAGCACCGAGACCACATTATCTTGGCTCCATATAAATATTGAAAGAGTTGGAGATATATCTCTACTCCTGTGATGCATAAGTCACCCCAGGGCAAAGATACAGACTCAGACCTTGCTTTGGATTTGTGCAGCCCTTGCAGGCGAGAAAGCTGTGCCTCATGGTAAGCAATGTTGTGTGAATGCAAGAAGAGCCAGCAGGCTGAGAATGGATGTTCCTTCTCTCCGTTAACTGGAGCAGGTCTGAGGCTGGGGGTGGTAGAGCTGTTTCCCTTTGCTTGGTGCTAGACTAGACCATAGGCTGCAGTGAAGCAAGAGTTCAGTTCCCCAAATAAGGTCAGGCTTGGCTTGATTAGGCATCAGAAGTTCAAGCTGGACTTTACTAATATACCTAGGGTGGGTTTCTTCAGAGGTGGTTGTTCAGCCTTCAGATGCTACCATGTGAAGGAGCCAAGAAATGCTCCATTTCTGTATTGTGCATGGGCTGTTTGCTTCAAGAGTAGCATTAATTGTTTGTGACTCTTCTCCTCTAGACCTTTGTTGTAAAATCAGGGTCGTTGGTGGTTCTTGTTGACTGTTGCTCTCCTAAAAAACAAACAAACAAACAAAACTCTATAGGTTTCTATATTGTGATAATAGCCTGATGGTTGTGATGGCCTTACAATTAGCAGGAAGTCTGAACATACAATTATGGGCAGCTTAGATCAGAAACTGCTTGTGTTCTTTAGCTAAAGAGGTCTATGTCTGAATATAAAATCTGTAGATTTTGGCTCTCATGCGGTTTCAGGAGCAGCTTAGATGATTCTTTCTCCCTCTTTTATCTATGTAGTAATTCAGACTTCCCAAACACTAGTGTGCATCATAGTGAAGAGAGCTCTGTGTTTCAGCAAGGACAGGCGCTTAAATCACAGCAGCTCTCCTGACCTCAGTGGGATGGGTACCACCAGCCTGCTGGCAATCACACCCCACAGCTGCACCTAAACGCTTGCAAGTCTTCTGGAATATTTTCAAGCCACCCAGCTCATCCGCAGAAGGAAACACTGTGCCTTTAAACATCCTCCCCACTGCGGGCACACACTTTACTGCTTATTCAGAGCTGACAGGTTTAACATGTCGTCTGGTAAATCAGCCTTCATGGTCACCAGAGAGAGGCACCTCTGGCAAAAGTTCAGAAGTCAGTGTTTTGGAAAGATTGGTTTGACCAGCTCTCAAGTGAGAGCAAATCCCAGACCAAATGCAGTCAAATCTTAAACGACATTTAACCACTGTGGTGCTGTAGCTTGCTGATATCCTTTTAACCTGGAGAGGATTCTTCCTCCCATTTAAACCTTCAAGTTTGTTTCTTTTCAGCTCGGTTGGCAGGGGGACCTGGGGTGAAGACAGTTTGTTTTGACTTAATTCTAATTAATTAATTAGCTTGCATATGTTTCTGGCTCAGGACTATGGGACAGACTAGTGATTTTGGATGTTGTTTTAGTATCTAGACTTCTACAGCATTTAGCTTTCCAGTAAGTGTGTATATTCCATTATTGCCTCTTCCATGTTTGTTTTTAAAGGCACCTTTGGATTTGCTGCATCTTGCTTTGTAAATGTGCCACTCTTCCTAATCCTTTCATATTTGCTTTGAAGGGATAACAGCTTCTTAGGGGGGACAAAAGAGGCAAGCAGGCAAACAGTTAATAGTCAGTGGTGCCCAAATTACATATTTCTTAAACTCATGGCCTAGTTTACTAATCAGTTGTCATAAGATGTCAGATGGGGAACCGTCAGTGAAGAATTGCAGAATGCAGCCAGTGAAGCAGCTAATTAGTTGGACAGTGGCATGAAGGTGTGCGTCCCGGAGGAGCTGAAATTATCAGAACAGGTGAAAAAAGTTTTGATAGATCAGGATCTCAGTAGTAGAAAACTCCGTGCTTGGCTGAATTACAGTGGTGCTGATGGTGAGGGCAGCGTTGTGCCCCATTGGGGACGGCTCGCGAAGGGGTTGCAATACCTTTATTTGCTGTCTCAAGTCTATTTTCAGAAAGAAACTCAAGTCAGCTGAATGCTTGAAGGAACATGACCTGAGATGTGCAGGAATTAGAATAGTTGAACAGTTTCTGGGTTTAATTCTGAAGAGTCTAGCTGGCTGCCTTCCTTTTTGCCAATAGCTTATTACTCATCCCTGAACTCTTTTCTCCCCGGCTGTTGCAAGAGCTGCTTTTCATTAGCACCTGGAGGCTCCTGCCTGCTGCAGGTGTGTGGTGGTCCTGAGTGAGCCCAGAGCAGGTCCCGGAGCTGTGGTCTGCCCAGAGCAGAGCACATGTGCCTGGGCAAGTAGGTGTTTGGGTTTGCACTACTAGAAAACGTCATGCTGAGCTGCTCTCCAAGTAATTCTTTGGTCTGGCCGTGGAAAAATCTGTCTTGGTGGGACCTTGGAAGACAGCAGCTTGCAGGTAGCAGCAAGTCCACCACATGCAGACTTTATTGTAATAGTAGTCTGTGATTCAGTAGTACAGCAGGAGGAGGAAAATGAAGAGGCAAAATGCATCAGAGTTCCAGCTGATAGGAACAGATAAATTATAAGTGCATATAGCCTTATTTTTTTAATCATTTTCCTTAAAACATTTTGAATTGTGTTTCATAAATGCTACATGATTTTTTCCTCTCTTCCTTTCATACTAGCCCCTCTGTCTCCCTGCCTAAAGCGTTGTAGGTGGAGGAACAAGACAAATCATCTCCAAAACTCCTGAAGAAAAGCCCAATCACCGTGCAGAACCTGGGAGATGGATGGCCTGCCGTGCCAGTAACTGCTTGTCTTCTGCAAGTGATAGATTTTCACAGCAGAGATGGGGATTCCTCTTCTAAATTCTGTAGTCTCCTCTTTTTGGACATATGGAAAACTCAAAAACAGGTATTTGACTTGGGATTCTTGATACTGGGATTCTATCCTCAATGGGAATCTTCTTTTCGGTGTTTTGATTTTTCAAAATGTTAATGCACAATGTAAGAGCAGTTGCACAAAACGATAGGAATAGTTTTACTGTATTCCCGATTAAGTCTTGGTATGTCTCAGAAGTTTTCAGGAGATCTGTTCCAGACCTGGACCTCTGCATTTGAAGGCTTTGGTCTTGGAACTGCTTGAATCTATGTGGTGAGCAGCCTCTCCAAAGCAAAATGGGACAACTTGATCCTGGGCCTGCATTAGCAGTTGCAGGATTTGAGATAGATTTGAGATAGAGGATGCCCATGGAGGAGAATGTTCCTCCTTGTGATAGTGTCATTATGTGGCAAAGGCCAGTGGACGCTTTCGGGGAACATTTTAGTAAAAATGGCAAAAGGGGATTAAGCAAGCTCAAGTAAACCCCATCTGATACAGACAAGGTGAATGCTGCTGGAATTATTCTTTATTTCTCCCTGTGGCTCCAGCTCTCTGCCTCCAAAACACTAGCTGTGCTCTTAGGGCTAGCAGCAAGTATGAGAATACTCAATATATCTCACTTTAAGATTGCGTTCCTAGTAATTTATGATTTTTTATGACTCTAACAGTTGAGCCTGAAATAACCTGTGATGTAGTATTTGGTATTGCCTCAAGAGTAAGGTCTGAACAGTGCTCTGTAAATTGAGCCCAAGGTTACATCTTAAACAGTAGCAAAACAGTGAAACGCTGAATATCTGTTCAGAAAATGATGGCATCCATTGCATGCACTGTGGAAAAGAAAATGGTGTGTGATTGTCAGTTAGAGATATGGAATACACGGACACAGAGGAAAGGTCATACTAAAGTTGTGGTGGTCTTTGTTTTTGAGTGCCTGCCTGTCTCATGATTTGTGTCCATGAAACTACAGAGGAGTGAGTTGTCCTGAAGGACAAAAAAAGCTGTTAGTTGGTGTCATTTCTTCTGGGCTACTCAGGCCCTTTGGACTTTGTATGAAGAGCTACGATTCCTTTCAGAGCTACTTAGTGCAGGAACCACTGAGAGCTCTTCAGGTATTGATGCTGTGAGCACCCAGGAGCTTTGTCACTGTTAAGCATTTGCCTCTGCAGTGTTTTCACTTCATAACATTCATTTAGGACAAATGATTTAAATATAGTCCAAATTGCATGGATGAGAACAAGAATAAACTTGATAATGTGCTGGAATTCCTAGAACTGCTCTGTGTAGTGGAAGTGAAAAGTGGAAGATGGTCACTAGGGGAAGAAAATGTTATGAATGTGGAGTCTGCTTAGGTTTTGCTAGAATTCCAAAATATTCATGAAGAGCTTCAGCTGTCATCAGGGTCCAGCATTATCAGAGAGAGGAAGCAGATGAATTCGAAGAACATGATCACCATGGGGTTCCAGTTTCCCAAATACTAGTGTATTAATGTCATTACTGCAGGGATATGTGTCTGCCGTTGTTTTAGGAGGAGTGGACAGGTCTACAGTAGAGAAGAGAAAGAATAACCTTCAGCTTCTCTATAAACTAAATCAGGCTGAAGTGTAATTTCGCATTTGAACTTGTTTGTTTTTCTATAGTTCCAGTTAGGTGAGAAGCAGGAAGATCTGGGAATCCTGGAAACTGTTATTTCCAGAGAATTTCCAGCAAACCATTTTCAACTGACAAGCTCAGCCTTAGACTTCAGGGCTGTTTCCTTGTTGTTTTGAAACGTGAACCATTTAAAGTCACATTGCTCTTTTCAAGTTTTGGATTGTGGTTTTACGTTTTAAGACTAGGCTAACGATTTGCTCTTAGTCTTAATTAAAGACTAATTAAAGAAATTTTGCTTTTCTGCAGAAGAGGTCGCCATGCCCTGCTGTGCTTTCCCACCCTCTGCACTGACTTCAGCCCATTCCCCTGCCTTCCGACTGCAGCCTCCTGGGTGGATGCTCCTTAGCAGTGAACACCCTGCATCTCCTCCTCCTGGTGACCTGCAGAAGAGTGTCAGACTGAGCATACCTCCAGAATCCCCTACACCAGGGCAATATCAGACTCTAAATGATGCACAAATAAGTTGGTTTTCTGTTTGTTTGTTTTTTATGTTTTGTTTTTAAGTGTTAATGGTGTAAAAGCTGAAAGGCACCAGTTCTCTTGATCCTGTCAATTTAGGCAAGATAGTTGCTGAAGAGACAGATTCTTTATCCCCAAAAAACTATTTGGACCTTTGAGCTGCTAAATTCCTTCCCCCATTACCTCCCATCTTTCTTTCCAATATAGCACAGCTACTCTGAGTCATTGTTTATCTAATTTAATTAACATTTGCCAGCGCCTGCAACCTAAAACACTGTCTTAAAACATTTGCTTGAAAAGCCTCCTTGTCCCAGAGCTGTCATTTTTTAGCATGATGGATAATGGATAGAAATAATTATCCTGAACAAGGTTAGACAGCTTAAATGATTTGAGTTTCAAGGAATTAGTAAGCTTAGCTAAACATCTTATTTTTCAAGACATTTTAATAGTAAAAACACAGCAATGACCATAATGAATTGTAAAATCTGTGCGCTACTAGAATACATTGTCTCTTGCAGGTAGTTGTGCATGCAACACTTCTATTCAAAGTGATTAAATCAGCACATCATCTGGTACGTCTGTTAGAATTCAGAGCTATCTGAAGTCCTTTCAAGTGTCAGATATGGCAGGAAGTAAAGTGGAGGTGTTAGTGGGCAGTTCATTGTGGCCAAGTGTCTCCCTCTCTAGTGTACTATCAATCCATCTGAGCTATAGTTTTTGGAGGTTACATTTCTACCACACAGCATGTTCTTATTTTAAATTTCAGGCATAGTTTTTTGAACTTTTCATGTGTTTTTTTTTTTGTTAGTTTGTTTTAGGTGGAGTTTGAGAAGTTCACTGTCTACTTGCAGGTGAGGTAGAATGTTATCCAGTGCTGTCTCTTCCTACAAAGCACTTTGATAAGTTCTGCTGATCAAGTTCTAGTCAGGACTAATTCTGCAGCAACCTATAGTATTATAGTAGGTCCAGTAGGTCTATTTTTTGATCTCAGCACTAGCAGAGCTCTGCAGACTGCAACTCACGGACTGTCCTAAACTGTACCACCACTAAGGGCCATAGAAAGCTGTTCTTGGAGCAGCAGCCCCTGTGACAGCCCTGAGAAAATGCCAGAAAAAAGGTAGGAGGATGAGGCTTTGTGAACATGGAGTTATATCAATTTGACAAGGTGCAACTGAGAGCAGAACTGGGCCCGCTGCCTCTGTGTTATTTCCCCAGCCCCTCATTCTAAGCAGATATAAATTTTGAATTAATCAGTGACCTTTAGCTTTGAAGAAAAGCAGAACTTCTGCATGAAATTGCCACAAACGAGAGTAACAATTTGTAATTGCTTAATTTAGCTCCTAGAAATCCAGGTGCAGCCAGGCCTCGGAGGTGCTTTGCACTGCAGAGAAATGGGCTCTTCTCCAGGGAACCTCTATCCAAAGCGCTACGGCACACAAAGAAAGCCAGGAGAAAATTGGTGCTTAGCAGAGAAGTGACAAACCGGGAGCAGCAGGACATGGGAGCGCTCCGGGGACGCCCGCCCTCTGCCCTCCGTGTTGTACCAGGACATCTTTTCAAATAACAACCCTTGCTTTTAATTCTCATTCACCAAGTTTTGTATTTGATGAAATTAAGTGAAAATCATCTTTGCTTGTGAAAGCAACAGAGATAGAGAATTTTCAAAACCCAGTTTGTAAAACCCAGAAGTTTCACTTCAACCCTTAATTATGTTTTAGAATATATTTTTAAAGACCTCTGCATTGGTGCACTAAGATTTAAAATTCCTCTGGCAAAGTGCACTTTTATTGCTCCAGAGCTCACATAAAGCTGAACGGGTGGCTGTATTTCTAAGCAAAGAGCTGGGGGAAAGTGCAGTTTGCAAATGGCAGTAGAGCCCAGAAATTGAACTCTAGCCTTTCTATTCAATGCTCTTTTTATTATTAAGTCACAGAATAAGTAAAATGTTGCAGGGACGCTTTAAATCTCCTGTTGTGTAGAGCATGTGATAAATGTGTGATGGGGAGAGAAAAAGAAATACATGAGGATGCTGAAAATTGGGAAGAGATTCGATGTTGAAGGATTAAATATGGTAAGTTATGTTATTAAATCCATAACTCTGACTAGCTGGAAATGGAGCAGCATGGCTTTGGTGCGCTCCAATGGTTGAGGGATGTTTTTGGGGTGGATGAGGTCTGCTGCTTGGGACACCTGTGCAACATGGCCCAGGTCATGGAGCCACCATGGCTGCAAGCTCCTGAGGTTGTAGCAGGAAGTGTTACTTGGCTATTTGAAGATCCCTTTCATTCTTTTCAGGCTTGAAATGGTCAAAAATTGAATTGCACAAGCCTTTTTAATGTGCTTTTGAGACCATTGACACAGCTGCCATTAAGCTAGCACAGAGAGGCCAGAGCATGGAGCCTTCCTACATTGGCATCAAGGTGGTATGTGAAACACATTGATGTGGAGGAATCCCTGCAGGCTGCAGTTAGCATCTCTAATGGTAGGAAACCTAAATGTCTGAAGTGTCTAATTTCAACTAATGACCTGTTTTGTTTATAAGGGCCAAGAAGTTTCCTGTAGAGTTGGCTTAGGTTTCACTTGTATTACTGTCCTGTAGCTTAGGTTGATGCTGGTGCGGCAATTTTCTAGTTCTGTTTCATTGTGGCTCTTTTAGCTGTCCTTTAATAGACTGCATAGGGTAAGCACCTCTCTTATTTATTCACTGTCCACACATTGAAATTGGAGGGGGGGAAAAAAAAAAAGATATCTCCTTCACATTGAAGGAAAAATATCAATTCTTTCTTTTCTCCAGTCTTTTTTCTTCACTCACATAAACTAGTCCCAGACTCTC